AATTACACCAAAAAGAGATCTCAGAACCGGCTGTATTGATGAAGATATCAGATAATATACAAGGGATGGAGGGCCGCCCAGTAAGCGATGTAGCGATAGCAGATGAGGTTGAAAAGCAAACTTTGAATGATATTGTTCCCCCTTTTAAAATATGGAAGAAAAAAGAATCGCAGAAACAAAACAAGCACAGGGAGGAAAGGGGAGGGGAGAGCAGAATTTATATTATTTTGGGTCTGTTGAGTGTATTCTCAAGAAAAAAGGAGGGTGAAAGAGGGGATATATTTCACAATTGGCCTTGGTGTTCTGATGCTGTGGGAATAACATAGATTTAAGCTGTATTACACGTATAAATTGAAAGCTAAAGAGGTTAATACATAGACAAAATAGTCAAAAGAAGAAGAAGAAAAAGAAGAAAGATGAACCTTTATTGGAACATGAATAGATTAGATGTTTATATACTTGATATGAAAGATTGAATGATTATACATTTGATGTTTTCTTATTCTCAAAACCCTCTTTCCATTCCCCCCCCCACTGCCCTTTGCCTTTTGTATTCCTTCCCCATTAGCCAATAGTTTTGAAAATAAAATAAAAATAAAATAAAATAAAAACAGATCTTGGTTTTTGATTTTGCAACATAACACTAACCTTCCTTGTCACACTTTTGTCATCTGCTCCTGTCGCTGCAAGATGAAGCACGTGGCCCTGGAAAACAGAATCTACTGAGTTGAAAAAGCTGGACTTCCCAGCACTAATTTGCCCAATGAACAGAACCCGGATTTTTGGCACAGATTTTAAGGGAGGCTTATATCCTGCGATCTCATCCATCAGTTGTTTTCTTCCTCTGTTGAGAAAGTGAAACACACCAGTTTAGCAAAATACACCAGTATCAATCACATCGTCTTAGACAGCTCTAAAGTGGACATTTTTTACAAAAAATAAAGTGCTTGGACAAAAAGCTCTGAAGCATAAGGAGGAAGATGGTGTAAATGACCAGATTGTGTGGCTGAGAACCCCCATCGACCTTTTACATAGGTGAAGTGAATTTAACCTTTTAAATGAGCGTCCTACTAAATGTCATCCTTAGTAACCACAGCAGGCATCATCTTCACTAAGGTCCTGCATGATATTTAGCATTATGCAGAGAAATGTGGGTCTCACTTGGCTTTTTTCCATCCTTTTTGAGCATGCAGGAATCTCCACCCCAAGCTGTTCTTCTAATGTGGGTCTTATGCTATGACACCCTTCTTGATGAAGACTGCAGGATCCCATGGGGTTTATGCCCTGCTTTAACTTGTTGAGAACTCACCACACCCAATGGGCACATGCCACACACTTCTAATGTGTTGTTTACATGACCTTGTGCTAATTGCACAAAAAAAGGGTGGGTGGTTAGGCGAGTGTAGTTGGCTCCACCCACTGTGACCCTTCCCTGTGCCCATCAGCCCCACTAAAAGGCACCATCCCTCGCTGGACAAAGCACGTGCGGGGGGGATGACACATGGGAAGCATTATGTTTCTTAATTGCCTCGGATAAAGGCTACATGATGTCCAAAGTATCAGATCTTCTCCACACACACATGTCACTTGCCCTCTAATACTCTGTCTGTCTCTGTCCCCTAAAACCTCCCAATGAAAACATACACAGAGAGTGGATGGATGGATGGATGGATGGATGGATGGATGGATGGATGGATGGATGGATGGATGGATGGATGGATGGATGGATGGATGGATGGATGTTTTCTAGGGCTTTAAATAGCCAGTAATGCCCATCATGGAGAGTCACTGGTAAGGTGCAGGCATTCCCTCCCCACACACTCACATATTTCATGAAGGCCCAAAGGGATCTTCCCCCACATAAGAAAGACAGAATGGCACAAAGGCTCCCAGGTAACCAATTACATCCCCAGGGGGTGCTGTTGGACATTTCAAGCTGCCTCAAAATTCAGAGAAATTTTGGAAAAAATGAGGGAAGGTACTGTGTGGGCTCTGGGCATGCAACCCATGGGCCAACTTTTGCTTCTCCCTGGCATATTTCAACCTTCTTCTAACTGGCGCTCTCCCAGGGTAAGAGACTACAGTGATCCTGCCATCCCTGAGCCAGCATTTGCTTTCTATTTTCAGAATTGAATGCCCTTCATACCTATGGTTAATACACATGAAATGTAACATAGGCATGGCCTAATCGTAAACCTACCCAGATGACAGATCAAATGACCTCCATGGTTTTTTCAGCATACAGTCAGCACCTAAGGGGGAAAAATATTTGGGTGGGGAATAATCCTGAAATTGTATTTTATAAAATACAGTGGTGCCTGAACTTGCGAACGTTCCAACATATAACCATTGCTAACAATTGGTGGCGAAGAGGCTGCTTCTTTGTAGCTCTTTCGCCCCAGCAGTTAAAGAGTGTGCGATCGGAGGACGATTCAGACTGCCTGGTAAGGTAAGGTGTTACTTTCTGCTTTTCAAAAACTGTTCTGGGTGAATTTTGCAGCGTGGTTTTGGACTGGGTGGTGGGATTATGTTTCTATGCTGTGTTGGGCCTTGCAGGGTTTGTTTGATTTTTTTGGTTTTTTTCTCTCATTTCCAATGGGTCTTGCGGGGTTTGCTTTCTGGCTTTTCCCCCCATTTCCGATGGGTCTTGCAGGGTTTGTTTGCTTTCTGCTTTGCTTTTTTTTTTTTTTTTTTTTTTTTTTTTTTTTTTTGGGCTTTTCAGGGGTTTTTTTTTTTTTTTGCATTTCTGATGGGACTTGCAGGGGTTTTTTTTTGCTTTCTGCTTTGCTATTTTTGCATTGCTGAAGGGTCTTGCATGGTTTGTTTGCTTTTCTTCCCCCGCCCTTCAGCCGTAACGTATTAATCATGTTTCCAGTGGGTCTTGTAGTGGTTTTTTGTTTTGTTTTTTGGTAATTTCTTTCTTTGGCCATAACGGATTGTGTTTCAATGCATTCCTATGGGAAATGGTGCTTTGACTTACGACCATTTTGACTTATGACCGGAGTTCTGGAACCAATTAAGTTTATAAGTTGAGGCACCAGTGTACTTGTTTTCTTTTTAGTGTTCTTTTTTTTAACTATTTCAAAACACACCTATAATACAGGCTTCAAAGCATTAAATATGAGCCCTTTGTACTTTGAAACAAACATGTACCTAACAAGGTCCATGGCATAGCAATCATATATGCTACGTATTTTTAAAAGCATCACAGAACAGTTGGGGGCAATCTCAGAAGAAGACGAAGCAGGGGAGGGGGAGGGGAGGATGAGGAGGAGGAGGGCATGCCATTGAGCAACACACAGAGATATAGAACCTTCACTGTGAAAAGATGTTGTCACCCCAACAAATTGAAGAACAAAACACCCACTTAAAACCCATCTAAGACTAATTATTTATAGATTGATTACAATACACCTGGAAATCCTCTTCTCAAAATATCCACAGTGGTTTTAAAAATCTTAAATTTTGAGGGATATCTTTTTTCTTTCTTTCTTTTAACTTTTTGCAGCAAAACACAAAGGGAAACTCCTGAGGTAACTTAAATATTAAAGAAATCACAAGATCTTCCATTTACAGAAGGAGGGGACGGGGAAGTTCTCAATAGGCACACCCTCCCAGGCATGCTGAGGACTTTGGACTACTTTCTCAGCATGCAGAATAGCTCAGAGGTATGGGACACAGGAGGAGCGCTGTGTTCAAGTCTGTAAAAGACTGGGTAGGGCGACGAGAGATGCAGCCGTGGGGTGAAAGACATAGTGCTGCTGTGTCTCCCTTGTTCCTGGTGGCCAGGAATCTCTGAGAGAACTGCAGAGAGCAGATTAACACTCCATATAACCATGAAAACAAGAAAAGCAGAGGAAGAGAGTCACTTACAGGTGGAGCCCCAACAGGGCACTTCCGTGCAACTTTTGATTTTGCTTTTAAAACACACACCATTATGTGGTTTCACATATCTGGAGATATTGGCATACTCTTATCAGTTTCAGAAATCTCAGCCCACTTCATAGTTGGTGTTGATGCATAAAACCGAGGGCTAAAAAGAATGCCACCTTAGAAACAGTAACACCTGTGAAATATAGTTTCTTGAAATACAGGGTAACTAACCGTGTTAACTATTCATTTCTGTTATTACAGTGGTGCCTCGCTTAACGATTACCTCGTTAAATGATGAATCTGCTTGATGCGGTTTTTGCTATCACTTTTGCAATTGCAAAACGATATTTTAATGGGGAAAATTTGCTTAACAATGATCGGTTCCCTGCTTCGGGAACCGATTTTTCACTTAACGATGGTTTTAAAACAGCTGATGGGTGGCTCTCAAAATGGCCACCCATTGTGCAAAATGGCTCCTGTTTTTAGGATGGATTTTTCGCTTTACCAGCACATGAAAATGGCCGCCCTATGGAGGATCTTCCCTGCATGATTAGGTATATAGCACATTGGAACACATTGAGCTGGGTTTCAATGCATTTCAATTGGCTTTTTTATTTTGCTTGACGAGGATTTCCCTCTACAGCGATTTTGCTGGAATGGATTATCCTCGTCAAGCGAGGCACCACTGTATTTGATCTCTGTGTGAATACAATGTAGGGGGAGAATGCCAGTCACACTCTCCTCTGAAGAGAGGATGGGAGACAGAGATTGAAAGCAAAAGAGATCCTTCCCTTTCAGCTTGTTTTTTCGTCTGCTTGCAAGAGGAAGGTGCACCTGCTGCTCTCCTCGCTTTTCTGGTCATCCTTTCCGATCAGGAGGTTTGGGTAGAAATGGTGCCCCTTTTTTTTTGCATAACATCAGGAGGTTTGGGTAGAAATGGTGCCCCCTTTTTTTTGGACAACAGCTATTGATCCTCTGTTTCACTCACCTTTGCTGGTCTCTTCTTCTGAAGGTGGGCTTTCTTTTCTGAGGTGCCTTCTTCTGTTGTCTCTTATATGTCTAAACATTGCAAGCATTGCCTACCGAAGAAATTGCAGTCGGATAAATACACAGTACTTGATGCTACATGCCTTTGATATTTGGTTTTTAAATATTTATTTAAAATTCAAATAATTGTTTTCTTTTCTTGGCAAAATTAGAAACTTCTAATAGAGATTCAATTACAAATAATGAGCCAACACATAATAAATGAATAAAGTAGATATAATGTTTATTTTTAAAATAATATTCCAGATTAAGTTGCATTATTTCTGCAGATGTTTAACTGAAAAAAGAGTAATTGTCAAAACTGGGTTCTGCTCATAAATACATAATAACAACAATAACTACCATAATTACAATGGTGATAACAAAAATACTAGTAATATGCTCTCATCAAGAGCCCTTCACAAGGAAATGAAAGGCTGTCAAGCTGAGCTACTGGAGGGGTAGAGGGGAGGAGAAAGGGGAAGGGGAGGGAGGGAGGAACAGACATCAGGGAAAGGGTTTTATTGATATCTGATCAGGCTGTGAGGGACCCTTTCCTGGGGGAACAGGGCCTCCTCCCCTCACACCTCAATCCACCAGCCCCTTCCCAAAAAGGTCAGCCTGGGCAGTATTTCCAAGTTGCATTACCTCCAAGTGACTTTCAAAACCTACTTTAAAA